TATTCATTCGATATGGTTATTGTATACCACTTGTACTTACCCCATATTGTTGTTTATTAATAGCATACCGTTAATTCCATCATGTCATCATTATGATATTTATATTAAATAAACTAGCAATAAACTATTTATTCGCTACATATTGTGGTCATGCATTTAGTTCAAGTATTAAGCCTGAGCTTCAACTTACACATACTAGTGACTAATCTCAGGACGACCACCTGCTTTGCAGATAGCCCGGAGTCACCTCATTTGAACCTTTGTGGCCATAAGGGGATTTTTATTCCTCCTTGGATTTGAACATGGGATCTCCTGGTACCTCCAATGAAATTTTGTTTTAGTATAACTTAGCTTATCATTTAACACATTCAAAGATTCACTTATCTATGTATCACTCTTAGTGCTTATGATTCTTCGACTACTAGGTTATTCTAATCTACACACAGGTGTGCTACATGTTAGGCTAGCTATTTACTAGCCATTTCAATCTTAATGCCTTTTTGTCATTTTTGTATCAAGTTTACATGTTAATATGTCTTTTTCTTTAACCAAAGTTTATACTTGATTCCTCACTTTTAATCTAGAGCTGAAATATACTTTCTTCTTATGTCAGTTAGATACCGTTATCCAACTTTATTTTTTGCTTTCAACTAGTCAGTTGACATTTCCTTTTATGAGACATAAAACAAGATTTGATATGAATGGTCCAATTTATATACAGTCTTAATCAATATCTTTGATATTGATCATTTGTTTTATCATTCGCATATCAAATATCAGGTCTTATCAACCATGCTAGTAGTTTTTCACTGTGTATCTTTACCTTTTTCCTTCTTCTTTCTATTTACTTTACTCGAAGTTTAATGATTTTCATTTAACGGATGAAATATTATATCTTTGTATTATTTTCCCTAGTGCATTCTATTCTAGAAACTATGTGTGGTCTTATTACCCACTTTTAGTCATTTCATAACTTGGTACAGATACACTATGGGTAATCACAAATATTTAAACACACCATACATGTTTATCCATGAAACGTATTTTCATGAATCATTTATACATCTTGCTCTGTTTCTTCTTAAAACTTAACATACTTTTCTCACAATCTAACATATGGAGAAGAATTCATCATCATAATTCTATGTATTAAGATCACTCTACTTTTAGTTTTCATTTTTGTTTCATTTTACCATTGATCAATTTATCCCCAGATTTTGACATTTTAGCCGACTAATCCCAGGGCAACCACCTGCTTTGCAGGTAGCTTGGAATCACCGCATTTGAACCTCTATGGCCACAAGGGGGATTTTTGTTCCTTCTTGGATTTGAACCTGGGACCTCTAGGCACTTTTGACATTTGGAGCCAAGCTCAAACCAATCAGACACCACCCTTGTGGTTACCATGGCATAATATTAATAACTTGACTTCTATACTTAATTCTTGGTTTAAGACTAGGTTTCTAAAACCCAGTTCACTTAAACCACATATCAAAGTTGTACCTTATAGTGAAAAATAATTGTAAAGTATTGAAAATACACCAAAGTCTATTCCTAGTTTTAGATACATCAAATCCGAACAGAGTTTGAAATGTCTCGGTCTATACTTCGACTTCTATGGATCTCAATCCTCTAATCGTCTCTTTCTTGTATTGCTTCTCCAATCACATATTGGCATGTGTTGAAGATGGTTTTAAAGTATTTTGGTAAACCTATGGTTTACAAACACAATTTAAAATATCATGTGTGAATCCCTTTCATAATCAAGCATGCATATTTCACAAATTATTTTTAACTTTGTCCACCACGCATAATGAGTGTGATATCATAGCAAGTGCATTTCTCGTCTATTTCTATCTGGCATGCACTCTTATCTACTCGTACGGTTTAATTCTCACAACCTGATAGACCCACTTGTATGCTCTTACGACTTAAAAGCATGGTAAGACCATGCCTTGCTGTTACAACAAACTATTGTATGGACCATCATAGTCGTGAGAACCTCCTCGTATTATGTTAAGCGATGAACATAATTTATTGACATTGAAAAACAATTTCTTGCATTCAACCCTGGAAAACTTCACATGATACTCATATTGATTTGTAGGTTGTATATCACGTCTCTTTTGCTGCTTTTATTGTTTCGTGGATGAATCTCGACCTTTGTTCCTTAACGTTTCTTTCGATTTTTCTTTGAGATCTTTTCATGGATTTACTTCTTAAGGGGAATTAAGGTAGTCTTCCCCAAATTTCATATTAAAATTATGACCTTTTTAAAACTAATAACAATTTATTGGTTTTATTTTGCCAATTCCCACCCAACTTAAATTATTTTGTTTATTTATTTGTATGTATAGAGAGAGATGAATCTTTCTTTTGTGAATATTTCTAATTTATTATGGAATCCAATTTAAATCTAAAAAATAACAATTTTAATTAAACACACATAATTGAACATGGACACAAGGTGAACACCTCTTCTTAGAAAATACTGTTATAGTTTATGAACATACTCTAAATCTACGAGATCTAGTATAGCTTGTAAATATTTTGTGAATACTAACTAAATCAATAAAACGTGAAAACAGTCGAATTTATTGTTTATTTTTGTGAAAAAATTCATGAAATTGTTTAATATGATGAAGTTGTTTCAAATAATTAATAAACATTATCATCTTCATTTTATTAATTTTAGTAAACAAATTTCATTAAAACAAGAAATACATGAAACAACTTAATTTTTACATAGAACATTTTCATCATGGAATGAGTTATTTGATACAATTTCATCATATTAAACAATTTCTTGAAAAAAATTCATTAAAATAAACAATGAAATCGACGGTTTAAACAAATAGTTTGATTTGCATTTTATCCCTTTCTTATATATTTGTGTGTGTGTGCCTGTGTGCGTAAGTGCCTACACACATACGCACATCAATTGTTGCAGCATCCAAGAAAACATTTCTCCCAAATAGAAAACTTATTTTTTTATAAACCTGGATATCCAACCCGTTATGCAAGCCGACTAATTCCAAGGCGACCACCTGCTTTGCAGATAGCCCGGGGTAACCACATTTGAACCTCCATAGCCACAAATGGATTTTTATTTCTCCTTGGATTTGAACCTGGGACCTCCTGGTACTTTTGACCTTTGAAGCCAAGCTCAAACCAATCATGATTAAATAAAAAACATATTTATTATTTGATAAATCACATTACATAGTCCATAACACCAAAATGCTTCACCTACACATTTTCACATACAAAAGGAATAATGAGAAAACTTAACTGAATATCATACGATATCGTTTATGTAAACTCTAAATATTGCATGATATGATCAAAGATCTTTAATTAACAAATACAACATTGTTCTCACAAAAATACCAGATTTCAACTTAATATTTATAGGTTCTATAAATAATCAAAATTCTATATCACATCAAAATAATCTGTTATTTTACTCCACATTTGGGTGATTTTCTTGAATCTTGGAAAACAACCTTGTTGGGTTCTTGAGGCCATTGCTTTTCCATATCTCCATGATTAGGAAAATGTGCCATTAAGCTATTTAATTCAATATCTAAATTGGAAAGCCAGTATCATTGGTGAATGAGTGGCTTGAGCTTTCTTGATGTAATTAACCCCAATTATAGGAATAAAAAAAAGGCTAAATTAATCACATTTACTTAATCTTTAATGCCAAGTTGTTCTTGTTTTGGATGCTCTTTACAACCATTAAGATGCCTTTAATTATTGATTCTCTTTTTTTATTTTATTTTAATGGAAAACTTTGGTTGCAAGGTTGATAGGGGGCAGTCTTCAAAGATCTACATTATGTGTGCACACAAGTCAAAATCTGCCTAAAAAAGTTTGGGGGCTTTTATATGTCAAAGTGTAAGCATGCATCATGCAGGAGGAAGCATGTGTTTGCAAGAGTGTATGTATTATTTTTATTTTTATTTTTAAACAAACCCTAAATTTATATTTTAAAAAGTTAGAGAATTGATCTATTATCTGTCTACTCAAGTATTGTTGCTTATTCATTGATCGAGTTTGAGTTTAATCATCTTTATTGACTGTAAAAAGTAGAGGGGGCGATCGTATCTGTTAGCCCCTTCCTGACTTTTTCATTTAATACATGTATTGTTTATATAGGATCATTCTACGACAGCTTTATATGTACGCTTAAACCTGGATATTTAAAGATCTGTTTATCGGGTTAAATCGATACTTCAGTTAACTAGATTTTATATGCTTGTTGTTGAAAAAAGAGATGTTGAATAAGTCAACATAACTCTTCTTGGATCTTTTATCGATGAAGAGAAAAACATCTTTTTTAAGTTTTGTGTTATTAATCGTGGTTTTTGTGTAATAAATAATACAAATACTTGAATGTGGAATTATGTGTTCGCTGTTGACTGTCTTGTTATTCGTGTACATGATAATGCTGATAATTGATGACGAACTCAAATGTTTGTTAGTAAGAGTTACTGAAACTCAAAGAAACCCACGGTTACCTAAAAAAGAGAAACTCAAATAAACTTGAAGAAAACTAAATTCTAGTTAGTGGGATATTGTACACTGAGATTGTATAGCTTTCGTCATCGTTTAATGTAGTTGGACTTTCTATTTGTATAGTCTTTTGTAACATTCAGTTCGTTTCCACTTTATTTGGGGTTTTTCCCTTTCTATTTTATTTCTATTTTTAACTCTTAGTTTGTTTCATCATTTCATTTTGGTATCCTTTGTCGTTGATTCAATCTTTGTCATAACTTATCCGATAGTATTATGTGTATTATCTAAATGGATGAATATGAAGATATCCACACTCATCCAAATCACTATGCAATAAAAGCGAACAATATCTATCTAAATGCCTACCTACTTGACGGAAGTGGTTTAAACGGTATACTTTACTTCCTCCCATAAAGACTTCAAGATAATCGGTTTAAAAACTCGAAATCAGTCCAACCATAAGTGAAATATCTTCCTTAGAAACGAACAAATCTTTCTTGAATTCATAATTCGTTGCAAAATGTGATTTGCATATGTTAAAGTTGCATAATATTTTCACCAATACGAAAATCTTACAGGGTAAGACATGTATGAAATTTTCTCATACATGCTTCTAAAACGTACTCTCATCTTGATCATATAATCACAAAGTGATGTTATTTACAAGATTGTCCCCCTTCATATATACCCAGTAATCCAAACACAAAAACTTCTACACAGTCATCATCCCACACTCTTGAAAACTTTTTGGTGGGATTTTTTTTTCCGCATTCAATCTCTATACTCGCTAATGATTGCGCTGAACCGACCGTTTCCATGCCACTAAACGTTGTAGAAATTGCATAACCTATAAAGCGAAACAAAATCTATAAGTAAAATGATTTAACGATCAATTATTTGATTTTCTTAAAGAGTTAACTAAGTAAACTTGCCTCGGGCGGTTCTTGTAAAGAATACGTGGCTTCAGTTTCTTTAGGTATCTTAGACACCAAAATACCGAATCCTTGTCCTCGTTTATTTAGCACCTGGTCAAAAGTCATAGTCAAATTTGTTTTTGGTTAGAATTGTTCAAAACTTTGACTTTCTAGAAAAACTATATGTACTACAAAAGTTTTGAATACCTTAAATGCATCTTCATCTGTACGATCATCTCCGATATAGATAGGTAAGACGTCTTTTGAGTTTGCATAACCTATATTGCAAAATCAAAAACAGTGAGCACGCTATTTTATTATTTTATTTCCAGTTTTAAATCGTATGACATATTATAAACACTTTTGAATACCTAAAGATTCCAACAAGAACTCGAGCGCCTTGCCCTTGTCCCACTTGATAGTTGGTCGAATCTCCAGGACTTTTCGTCCTTGCGTTAATCGAAGCTCTGGGTAATCTTTAAGAACTGATTTAACTAGATCTGCTAAATCATTCCAACTCTATACAACACAATTTAAAAGAATAAGATCAGTTTTACAATACAGAAAACAAATCAAAAGAACCATAAACCAAAACTTTTTCCAGCCCAACTTTACCTGTTCTTCAACACGTCTAAAATGTACAGACAAGCAAAACTTGTTGTTTTCCACATTGGCACCAAGGATGCCTTTGGTTTTTTCTAATAAAATTCCATAAACCTAAAAAAATAAAATATATAAATTAATAATCAATTCTTATAATTCTTTGTATTCCACAAACACATTAAATTAAATTAAATTAAATTAAATTAAATTAAATTAATAATAATAATAATTACCTCAGCCATGGTTGGTAAAAAATCCTTGGCTGGTTGGCAAAGTACATTTTGGTTGCCCTAAAATCACAATAAGAAGATATATAAGTATAATCACAATTTTATAATTCACATAAAAATCATTTAAAATTAAATTAAATTTTTCTTTAGCCACGGCGAACCATCGCTAATGCCGTCACGTATACTTAAATTTTGAATTCAATATGCAATTGATCGAATTTAAAATACGAAGGTTATAAAGACATGGTTTTGTTTGTACTTTTTGATGCTTGCGAGCCGATGGTCCCTTGATGTCCATACCATGACTACCGGCATAGTATAACTCCGAAAGTCTAACAAAATTGTAAACCTGAAATTAGATTATCATGTTAATTTTAGTTTTTTAAAAGTAAAACAAACTATAAAATAAATTAATAATAATAAATATTGCATTTTTAATAAAAACTGAAATTTAATTTATATTTTATAAAAATAAAAACAATAAAATGAAGTTATAAGTCTGAACTTAAAAAGTCAACGAAATTAAAAAGAAGAAAAATGTACCTTGGCTCTGCACCTCCCGCTAACTATAGCTGTAGGGAAGTACTTTGCAACATTCTTCACTGCTTCTCTCATCTGTTTTCACCATTCAATTTCATTTTAGACACACAAACATATACATATACATATACATATTATATATATATACATATACACAGGGAGAGAGAGAAAGTGTGTGAAAAATTCCTTAAAAAAAATTGAAAAACTAATAAACATCCAAATAATGACTCTATAGTATGTACATGTGTATACAAGGAGTTAGATAATATTTCATGATTTCTATGCATGTTATACATATGTGTATACCATGCAATTATCAGGGTGTTATTCAGTTTTTCATGGTTTCTGACACTATATATATAGAGAGACAGAGAGAGAGAGAAAGAAACCTCGGGAGCCATGTAAGCTTGATCAGGGTTTTCAACAATGGGAGACAAAGTGCCATCATAATCAAGAAAAATCACAACTTGCTTCATTTTTGCAGCACTCATGATCTCTTCAAACACACCCAATGCAGAAGGATGCTTCATCTGTTTCAAACAAAACCACCAAATCAGATTCCAATTCCGATTCTCCCGTCACCAGAAAAACATTGAAAAACAGAGCATTCTGCAATCAACAGAAAAACCCAAACTAAATGACTTACAATCCAAGCTTTCTTGTGTTCAGTATCTTCCGACGATGAGTTCCTTGTGGGAGAAGAAGCTCTCATAGCATCCACCCAAGCAATGTTTTTCGTTTCAAGACTCTTTGGGAACTTGGATTTAGAGAAAAGTGTTAGGTTGTAAGGGTAGCCACGTGGTGTTATGGCCGGAGAATTGGAAACAGGCGGTGAATAGCCATTGACGGCGACCATGGCAATGGCGGATTGGGTGTCGGAAACGACGACATTGGGATTGGTCATGTTGGTATGTGATTGAAGGGAAGATTGCAGAGGGGGGTTTAAAGGAAAAGAAGAGAGGATTTGAACACGTAGTAGACTCGGATGAAGAATGGAAGAAGAAGATGAGAATTTATAAGTAAAATTCGTGGTAGAAAGGGAGGAAGCATCCTTCTACCTTTTTAGACAAGTGAAAGAAAAGGTATTTGGTGGGTGGTGGTGGGACCCATTTAACCTTTTCTTTTATTTTAATTTTAATTTTTAATATAAATACCTATTTAGAACTTAGAACTACTTAATTGGATTCTCTTTCTTTTCTTATACTTAAACTTATGTCTTTTATGTTAATATTTGATATGATATCTAATTGAATTGAAGATATTTACTTATAACTAAATAATATATGTAGAGTTTGTTTCAAATGTAACTCATTATATTTGTGTAACTAATTCAATCCAATAAATTGAAATATTTATAAAAATGATGAACGTTCATTTATTATGATTTAAATATTTATGGAAGATTTATAAGATTCATTAATTATGATTAATATTTTATATTAGAAAATAATCAAAAACTTCTTTGAAATTATATATTCATCAAATTAAATGAACGATTGAAATTAAGTTATATTGGTCATACAAATGTAAAGAATTGTATAATAACTCATCTCTCTCTCTATATATATATAATTATTAAGTCATATTCAAAGTTACTAATTTCAAGTTATAGTTTTATATTAAGTCATATTCAAAGTTACTAATTTCAAGTTATAGTTTTTATATGATATATATATATATATATATATTATAGGGCTTTACAATGAAACTCAAAGATCTTAAGGTGTATGTATATATATATATATATATATATACACATATATGTATGTATGTATGTATGTATGTATGTATGTATATGCTAGTGTATTTGCATTAGTTTAAACCAAGAGAAGAAGAAATATTTGACAACTATAAATTATCTTATCTTTTGAACTTAGTGCACTCGTGCTTCATTCTACTTTTTCCAATTGTTTAAATGACCAAAATTTGTAACCCTATTAGAAATATTATTATATATTATATCGTGAATTAATGCTTACAGAAAATTTAGCTGACAATGTTAACGTACAAGAATTATATGCCATGAGATGTGACAAATTAGACTCACGATCTAAATCAGCTAAGTTTTGTCAAATATGTATCCAATAGTTTTTTAGCCAACAGCTAATTGGTCTGTCAAACAGTTCATTTTCAGCCAACAACTATTTAGCTCCTAGTATGTCAAATATACCATAAATCATCTCTTGATTATAAACAACTGTAGCACTTTTATATTAGCTGTCAATATATAACTTTTTTCAAACCTAATCATTTGAGAACACCAATTTTTGTGATTTTCATCTTAATTAAGTCACATCTTATAATTGATTTTTTTAAACATTAGTTATTAATTAATTGGAGGATCATTTTGCAGTATCTCATAATATTATACATAACCATGATTTTGAATTTCAGTCTATATCCTTGGTTCTTCATTTCTGACTTTATTGTAATTATTTATCTTTTGAGATTAAGATCAGTCCTATTTTCGTATATACAACTGAAGAATTCTTTCCTTCACCTAATTTCCTTTAATCCAGCTAACAATATTCTAAATCACGTATGATGTGCAAATTGTGATATCATATTAGGATAACGGATCATTACTAGTTCCATTACATATTACATGGAGGTGGTGCACAATGTGAACTATTGTTTCACATTGTGCACATATACCTGACACTATAAAACTACTGATTAAAGAAGGGTTTTCATAAAGTATTCACATTGTGAACATATACTTGATCCAAACAAAATGAACATATGCATTGTGAACATCATATACATACATATATATATATATACATATACATACACACACATATATATATATATATGTACATACACACATGTGTTTGTGGGTGGGGGACGTGTCTCCTTAAAGACGAGGGCTCAATGATATCCGGTAATCCAACCTATTAGAAGTCAAGATTCCAACTTCATCTAAAACGAGACATGTGTGAGATCAGTATGTAAATATTATATACTTAAAATATGTGTTATATACATATGTTTTGTTGATAAGTTTTGCTTTTATTAATAAACATTTTGATTATTTGAATAGTAATTATATTGATATTATGAAATTATATGTCAAATCAAACATTATCGTTTCTAATCAAAATGAAATATTTAACTATTGAACTTGAAGATTTTACCAATTTTTTTTTGCTTATTTATCTTATGTCAAACAATTAAGATTAAAATTTATATGCTAAATAGGACGACACAGTGCATCTCTTAGTTCCTTTTAGACAACAACGTATGTTGTGTATATATATATATATGGCCATCGGTCAATAACACATAGTTACTAGTAGAACCCACTTTTTAGGATGTCAAGGGTTGTCGAAAGAGCCCAACCTTCTAGTGAGGCCAAGAGTTACGGCTAGAACCCAGTCTTCCAGGGAGGTCAAAGGTTACCGGTAGAGCCCACACTACAAAAAGAAGTTTGGTTTATAAGACATAAAAATGTCTAAGGGTCATAATGGACTATTTTATGGGACAAAACAATTGTACATCTTGTGTAAAGCTGTTACAATGAGTTTATAAGATGTTTATAAAATCTTAATAGGCTCTTTAGGATATTTTTTAAATAAAATGTCATATTAGTTTATCTATATGGTGCTTTGGAGAAATATCTTATAAACAGATTTTTATAAGGAACTTGTTTTTACAAGACACTTTTTTACAAATAATGTCATATGAAAAAACTTATATGACATTTTATTTAGATGGTGTCTTAAAAAACTTGTTTAGGCGCCAAAAAAATGGTTTCGATTTTATTGTATTGTCAGCCTCCAAGAGGGTCAGGTTCAAAGATCATCAAGCATGAAAAATGCGTATGAATATTTATTGTGTGTATAGTGTGTGTATGTGTGTCTATATGTGTGTGTGTGTTAAAAAAATGGAGAACATTGAAATAAATTCTTCATATATCAACTTTTAGTAAAAGTAAAAGTCAGTTCACATATTCATCTTCATGTGTGAATGATTGGTAACAAGGTAAGCAAACATAAGTTCTCTCTCTCTCTCTCTCACACACACACACACACACACACACACACACATATATATATATATATATATACTATTTTATAAAGTATTTGGCTAAAACTCTTAAAAACTCTTAAAACTCTTAAAAACTCTTAAACCCGTTCATCCCCAAACGATTTCATCCATATCCGATTTCATCCCATATMTGAATTCATGTAACTAACTGCAGATAAACATAATCAAATACATGATAAACATCTCATTTTAAATATAAAAAATCTAAAATATAATTAGTATAATCATGCATTAAATTCTAACATAATACTTAATTATTATCTTTATAAAATTTATAATATTAAACCAAAAATAAATTGTTTTATTATTAAAC